GGGGAGCAGGGGAAGGGCAGGGCACAGCCCGCTTGGAGCAAGGAGCCTGCTGCCCTGTACCCGGGGTTTGGGGAGGGATGCCCACCCGTCCCATCCCGCCCTCCAGCTCCAGGGGGAAAGCGGGTACCGAGCGACCCGGCTGCGCTTCCCACTGCTGCCCGGGATGGGGCTTCTGGAGGAAAAAACACACCCGGCCCCGGCACGTCAAACATGGGGAGCAGCAGCTCGAGCCCCCGATGGGGGAGAATCAAAAGCAGAAAACACAGAGAAAGCTAAAGAAAGGTAAACAGGAGATTACAGGGGGTTGGAAAACAACAAAACACATGTTCAGAAACCCCCAGGGAACTGTGTATCATGGCCAGGACATTGTGTAGAGGAAAAACAAACAATGACCAGCCCAGGACAGTCCGATGATTAGGTCATCACGACAGCACTGGTTCCAGAGGCAGGCAGGAAACCATGGCACAGCTCAGGCTGCTCCTGATGGGATGAGGAGGACCTAGCACCCAACATGGGGCTGCAGCCTACACATGGGTGGGCAGCAGGACTCACCAGCCTCCTGATGGGCATTAGAGCAGTTTGACCAGCCTCTTGCCAAACATCTATTTCCCCTTCACTGAGGAGCATAGTAGTTCCCCAGGGCCCCACAGAGCCCAGGGTGATAGGGTGGACCAGCAACCCCCAGCCAGGAGCATCCCTACACCCTCTCCCCACAGGACTGAGATGGGAGGGGGTGTCCACATGCTGCCTGCAGCCCTAGGAGCTTGGTGCAAGATCCCAAGTATGGCTTCATACACACAGGAAACTACAGAGGTGCCAGCAGAGCATGAGCTGGGTCCATGGCAGAGCCAGCCCCAGCCCCACAAGAGCCTTGGGACAGGAGGAAGGTCAGTGCTTAGGGCCTCTTCTGTGGAAGCAGCCAGGAAATGTTTGCAGTGTGTGCAGCCAAGCGTGGAGAGTATTTAGGCACCCAGCAGAGCCCCAGGCACTGCTAATGGGCTCCCAGCAAGGGGGATGTCTGTGAGGATGATGGCTAACACCTAGTGAAGGCTCCTTGCTGGGCAAGACCCCAGCTTGAGCCCGAGGCCCTGCAGGCCAGGCTGCCATGCCAACCCATTCCTCACAGGTGTCAGACAGCAAGGAGCAGCGTGGGAAGATGTTGACCCTGCCAGGCTCCGGGAGCCCAAACTCCAACCCTTGCAGCGTACCTGGGACATCCAGGTCATCCCCATTCCTCTCGCTGTCCCCGTCCTCCTGCCCGTCCGCGTTCTGCTGGGTGTGCTGCAGGCTCAGCTTGTGACACACCTCGAACGCCTGCCCCACCGTCCGGACGATGCGCATGGCTTGGCTCTGCCGTGGGGGAGGAGAGGAGGAGCTCAACCCTCCACAGCTCTTGGGGGGCTCTGCTCCTCTGAGACCCGCCCCCCCCCAGCTGCAGGAGGAGCATCCCAACACATTTACCTTCTTCTTGGATTTGAAGACGTTGCACCTGAAGACGTTGCTAGACCCATCCCTGGCAATATAGCTGAAGATCTTTAGGTCCTGGGAATCGTGTGACACGTAGAATATTCTGCAAGGACAGCAAGGAGGGCAGGATATCAACATACATATTACCCACATGCCCAGGAGACTGCCAAGGCCACATCCAGCACTTCCCAGGGCACAGGGTGCTGGCAGACACCCAGTCTCTGCAGCACATCCCTGCTAAAGCCCATCAGAAATTTTTTTGGCAGTCATTTTGCCTCGGCTGGGAAAATTAGCCTGCTGACTCAGCAGCAGCAAATATTTTGTGAAGGCAGATCAGGGCTTTCTCTGCTCGGCCCTCCAGGGACAGGAGAGCAAACCTGCCTTCTCTGCCTTGCCTGGTTGGAGAGCCAGCCTCCCTGCTCAGGTGCCTGCCTCAGCCAGCACACCAGCCCCTGCCCAGCATGGCTGGGGCCCTTCCTCACTCCTGTTCAGCTATAGACACACACCCCCAGTGCTCTTAGCTTTAGCCAGTGAGATGGAGGAAAAGTGCTGGGGAATTCTGGAGAGCACAGCAAGCGAGGGGAGCTGCCCTCCATGGGGTCAGGGTGGCTCTCTGTGGTCAGTCCCCAGCACAGTGCCAGTGTGGCACAGGGTAAGTGGCACAGCAGAGCCACACAAGCCTTACCTGTAAATGGGATCATGCATGATGAGCATTTTATTCTCATCCCAGGCCCATTCTTTTTTCTGCAACAAAAGAAACTGAAAATGAGTACGTCAGACGCTGCCCTTGAGCTCAAGAACAGGGCAGACATGGTCCAGGGATAGACCTGGGAAGCACTTGTTACAAGCTCTGCTGCTGCTTCTCTACAAACCCTTTGCCAAGGGCTGGATCCTGCTGGGGTCAGCCTCCCACAGAGGGAGCCCCTTCTACACCCGCTGCAGGACTGGCTCTGCCATCCTGCAGGAACAAGGCTCATCCATGGCTGACCCCAGCCTGTCCCACCCTCTCTCAAAACTGATATTCACAGACCCTGTAAGATCCCTGCATCATAGAGTGACCCTGATGCCAAGGCACCACTGCCACAGGGCCCGGGGGTGCCTACCTTCTTCTTCTTCTTCAGAATGACCTTCACACCATCCACTGACACAATGAGATTGACTTTTTTCTTCTTGATGTTCTTGGCTTTAAACTCATACTGCAGGGGACAGAGGAAAACACCCAGAATTAGCTTTTGCCAGGAAACCCCCAGGGACAGCTGAAAAGGCTCTGATGGGAAGGGGCAAGAAAGGCAAGGAAAGATGTGCCCCAATCCCACCCAAACACAAGCAACATGCCCACATCAGCCTGTGCAGCCCTGCTAGGACAGGGGACCTTTCTGCCCCACAGCATCCCCACATCCAGCATCCAGAGGAGCACACTGCAAAGCAATCTGGTCCCTGGATGGGGATAATGCTTTGCTCAGTCCAGGATGCTGCTGGGAATTTTAAGTTCTGTTTCAAAGGTGCCCTGCAAAGAGCTGCACCTCCCCTGAGAGGCACAGCCACCTCCCCAGCCCTGCCAGCCCCTGGGACTCTGCAGCCTGGCCAGGTTTGCCCCCCTGGCTGGAGGCCATTGCTGAGCTCTGCTAAGAGAAACCTCATTTCAAGTGGGTTTTTTTAGGGGCTTAGCATAAAACTGAACACAATTGCTGAGGACTTTGTGAACCTCTCCAGGGGACATGGGATAATGCAATTACCCACTATGATTAGAAGTCACTGGACAGGAAAAAAAAACCCAGCAGGAACTTCCAAATATCAGTAACTAAACACAAAAGCTCTGGCCCAGTCACAGGGAGAGGATGAGATTTCTAAAAGTCAGTCACTTTTGCATTTGAGGTCTTGGGAGGGGACTGGCCAGGGAATAGGCTAGATAAGCCCTCTAGGCTCAGTAACCCCACTCTGGGACTTTTGGGGAGTCCCACAACCAGTCTACCATAGATGTACCCACATCATGTACCCCAGTGTGCTGGTCCCACAGGCAGGGCACTGTGCACAGCCCTGGGGACAGACCCTCTGCACCCACCCAGCAGCAGCAGAGCCCCACATCCCGCACTTCCCATTTCTGAGGAAGAGGGGAACGTAATGAATCCTCTCGTTCTCTGGCCAGCCTCTCTGCAGAGGGAGCACAGGCAGGCACCCCGACGCAGAGCCCTGCCTGCACTGAGCCTCCCTGTGACATTTCCAGCTCTGCATGATGTATTCACTTTGGCAGCCAGAGCCAGCAGGCAGGAAAAGCTGCTGGCCCTGACCTGCGATCGAATGATAAAAGACCTGGAAAGACAATTCCTCAAAGCCATTTTTAAAGTTGCCGATGGGGATGGGAGGGAAGATAGAGACGACTCGGAAAACAGGGGGAGGGGGAACGCAGCTCTGCCCTTCCCAGGGCACAGACCAGTGGAGCTGTGCAAACCCACCTGCTCTGGGGCTGAAGCCACAGTGATGGGCTGCAGAAAGCAGAGCTTAGGCTCCCACCACGGCTGTAGCCAGCCTCAAAATCCCCAGCATATACCTATATGTTGCTTGTAGGGCTTACTTGCTATGGAGAAGGGTCTCACTGGAGGCTCTCACCAAAGAAGCCATCAGGGTGGGTTTCCAAGTCTCATCTCCCACATTTCCCTTCCCTGTTATTACAAGAAGGGGTGAAACTGCATCCAAGAGCCCCATCCCTGTGCCTTGCTAAGACAGCACACCAGTACCGAGATCACAGCAGTGTGTCTGGTACCTAAAGCTAAGGAAATACCTTGATTTAGCCCTGAAAAAGTGAGATCCAGCACAGCTACCTTGGAGTAATTAACCAAGCACCATCTGAAGCTCTGCACACAATTTTTTCCAGGAGCCACAGGCTGAACTGGATGCTCTCAGCAGTGCCCAGAGTGACTGCACAGCACCTTGTGGAGCTGCAGCCTGATTTATTGGTCCTACCGATCAATGGTTATAATCATCAAGTTGCCTTTCTGAGCTGCTGGAGCCCTGGGGTTTCTGTTCTGGGCCCTCCCAAGTGCTAATTAATATGGGCTTGGAAAATACAGCAACCCTGAAAAATACCTTAGAGTTAGAGAGACTATTTTTAGCCTGGCTTTTGGGTGAGTAACAGCCCCAGGATAGCAATGCAGACAGGCCAGAACAATTCAGCAAAGACGTTACCTAGCCCCAGCATATGTTCCAGAGACAGAATCAATGCAGAGCTCCTTGAAGAGGCTTCCACAGTCCCTGGCAGCAGGCAAGGGATGCTGCCCAGGCTCGCTGAGGGGAGTGCCATGGGGGAAGCTGCTTTGCCTTTGCTCCCCTGAAACCCAAGTCTCCTTGTTGCTGGCAAAACTCCAGCAACAACCGACAGGAGCAAAAAAGTCAAACTCTCAGAAGATTTGTTAATAACTTTTCTGCATAAATCCGGGCCTTTATCCCAATGCCAAGGGGAGAGCCAAGCTCCTTTGCAAGCTGGAGCCATGTGCTTAGAGAGCTATTGCTCACCCTGTCCCAACAAGAGCTCTTTAGTTCAATCACACCAACGAGCGTGGATGCTCTTTGGGATACATCTCCCATGCAACAAAGTCCAGCTCTAGTCAATAAAATGCTAATGAACTCATGCCCACTGGGGCTCTAGTGAAACACTAACCATAATTTAATAACAAATAACCAAGGAAAGATTCAATAAAAGGATTTAATAGAAGGGCAATTCAGCCCAGCTTCCTCTCACATCCCTGAGCTGGGTGGGGCAGGGACACAGGCAAGGAGGGGCATTGCTGATTTTGGGGAGCTTTCAAATCTGAGTTTGGGTAAATAGGTGCCAGAAGGGAGAAAAAGCACTGGGAAGAGAGGGGCAGCAAAGCAAACCAAAGGGAGCACATATTGCTCTGCAGAGCCCAGCAGGGCCATCAACACCCTTCGAGTGCTGCTTCAACTCCTCCTGCAGCCACAGCGTGCAATTTGCTCTGCCTTATTCACAAGGCTAATTTAGCAAACCAGAGGGGTTTCACCCCAAGCAGCAGCTCTGGCCAAGGTCAGAGGAGGCATCAGGTTTACACAGCTCCTTTGAGTGAGATTTGAGCCACAGAGTGCAAGAGCTGAGCCCAAAACTGCACAGAGCCCAGGCTGTGCTCAGACCCCCTGGCTCGTGGTGCAGCAGCTCTAACCAGCAGCAAAGCCCCAGCCCCACTCCGTGCCTCTCGTGGGCAGCACAGCTCCCTCATAGCCCTGCTGTGCCAGGATGCTGCTCACTGCTGCAGCAGGAGGGTGGCATGTCCCAGCACGAGCCCTTGTCACCGACGGTAGCACCAGCCCAGGCACAGTCCTGGGCACCCTGTGTGCACCCTGGCTCTCCCCAGCCCTGGGTGGGGGAAGCTGGCCCTGCACTGCCTCCCTGGACCTCTCCCAGGCAATGGCCAGTCCTTCCCATTAGTTGACCACAGATGCCAGCGTGTGTCCTAAAGACTGTTGGACATCTCAGAACGTCCCACTGATGTGCTGCACACTGACAGCACCTGCCCAGACTGACAGACCTGCCCTGAAAGCCTGTTTTCTAGTGAGGCAATAGGAAACCTCTCTCCATATGATCAATGGGACTTCCTAGGCTTGGAGCTATTCCTGACCACAGCTCTGTCAGTCCTGGGCACAGGGGTCTGCAGGCTCTGCCCACACTTGTCAACATCCTTCCTTTACTGTCAAACAGAGAGAAAAAAGCTTGAGAGAGAGAGAGAAAGAATTCGAGTTTCAGCTTTTTCAGTTGCTGGGAGGAAAGCAGAGGAGATGGTGGGGTGGGAAATGCTACCAAAGGGACTCTGAGACCATCTCCACAGCAATTGCTGCTGCATCCAAAACCTGTGGACACCAGGTGACCTAGATGAGAAGAAAACCTGCATGTTTCTTATAACTACCTAAATGGCATAATAGTCAAAAGACCTTCTCTTGGCTTTTCTTGGCCTCCAACCCATCTTTTTAGCCCATCTTGGGCATGATTCTGAATCTTTAAATCTCTGTAATAACACTATAAGTTTGGGTTAATTCTATTAGTTACTGGCTAGAGCAATATGCCAGTCTCAGAAGATAAGACATAATTTCAGGGAAATGCACAGAAAATGGAAAGAGCAGATAAAACTGTCTGCTCCTGGACTTGCAGAGCTCCAGTCAGTCTCCAACTGAAGCTTCTACACACTCTACTAACATTTTTAAGCAAAGATTGAAAATGGACATTTCAGATATGCCAAGGTTTAAAAATATTTTAAAAAAAAAAAAAAAAAAAAGATGGTCTTACTAATTAAAAAGAATTATTAGAACACTTGTAAATTCCAACCAGCTAATTAGTGAATAAAGATTATCCCTTAGTTTTACACTACCCATGAAAAAACATGCTCATCCTCTCAATCAAAAAAAAAAAGAAACACATATTTTGTCAGAGTGCAAGAGCCTTTCCATTGACCTGGGGTTAGTGGATTTCCAACATCTGCCTCTTATGCAGAGTTCACTATTTAAATAACTTTAGATGGAAACTAATGCCAGCTGGTGTGTGCATCATTGTGCAACACATTCCTACTGGCAGAGTATTAAACTTGCCCTTTCCGGAGAACAGAGTAACATATGTTGCTTAATAAAGAGAGCTTGTAACTTTGTCAGCTTAGAGTAAAATTATCTATGGATCCGAGTGCCAGGGGTATGTGTGAAAAGCAGGGAAAACGCATCATCAGTAGAAACATGGTAAACCTCCCTGTCACACTGTTTTTACACAGTAAAAGTGTAAGAAAACTTGTAACCACGCACTGCACATGCTAGGTGAGGCAGATCAGGGAGATGGTGTCTGTCTATATTCATCATTCCCTCGCATTCTCAAGCATCTGACAAAAGTTAATCTGAATAAAAATGCCCTCATTTCATTACAGCCCAGCTAAACTGCAGCACGTGTAGATTGAAGCCTACCCACTAGCACTGTCCATCAGCTGGGGAAGGCACCAGGAATGCTATACGGTCAGATTGTGCTAGTAAAATACAAATAAATGGGAATTTTTAAAATAGAACCTCCCCTAAATGCATCGAGCTGTCCCAGTCTCCTTCCATCCTCTATCCACCTCCTCAAAAAAAGAAATAAAATAAAATATTAAAAATTAGTTTACAAGCTTGTACTGGGGAAAGAAAAGCAGTCTGAGAATTCAGTTAATAGGGAAAA